CGTAACACTTTAAGGAACAGAATTGCGCCGGAGGCGAAGTAGACAATCCACTGTGCTAGTGATGCGGTGCGCAGTGTTAGTCGCAATAAGAGTTCAGCGGGACGTTTGTGTGAGCAGCAAATCGGTGCACAGCGCACAGTGCACAACTCATAGGTAGCATTGCGGTATTAGCAAATGTGGTACTACATATCATACCATAACCATGGTAGCAGCAGTAGTAGTGGCCGTACCCGTAGGCATTGCAACCTTAGGAGTAGCATTGGCAGCGGCAATCGTGGCATACACGATGGAACCAACAGGAACAACAGAACTAGTAGCGGCGTGGGAACAACATATATATATACATGTATATATACATATATGTATATCAGTAACATGGCGCCACTAGTATAAACAATTGTGGTATGAACTGCCGCAATCACACTAGTACCAGCCGTGAGTTTACTGTTAGGAGCCTGTGAATGATATTTGAAGGATTTCTCAAATATATGTCAAGGATCTACGGAACATGTATGGAAGATCTGTGGGGCCACTGGGAAATGTCTTGAAAACCTCCTAAGGATTCCTGAATGATCTCCTCAGGATATATTACAAACCTTCTGCGCATATCTGCAGGGCCTCTGAAGGATCTTGGGCGCATCGTAATGGTATGGCACTGAACTCTGGCACGTGCATACACATGCGCACGCATACTATGCGCACGCACGCAAGAATATTGGACTGACTGCTGACGGATGCCTGGACGATTTAAAGGTTATGTGAAGAATCCCTGAAGGATCTCTGAAGCACCTCTGAAGGATGCCCTAACGATCTCTCAGGGATCTCTTAAGGATACCTTCAGTAAATACTCAAGCCCCCTTAGAGATCTACGATGGGGCCTTTTAAGGATCTCATGGTGGTGTGTTATAGACATATGCGCTATATCGTGGGATACCTTACCTGGCTGAGATTGGTACCAATGTTGGTCTGGATTTCTGAACAGTACCCCATGCCGGGTCCGACCTACCCTTTTACCAGGTAGGGGATGATGGGTGGGGTAAAAAAAAAACATATAAGAGGGGAGGGGGGGCTAGTTTTAGCAGACACAGTCTTTTCAACTAGCGGGGGGACACTGGCGCTGTTTCTCAATTTGGGATATTCTTGGGAGGTCCTCTGTGGTTGTTCGGGTTCCCTCTGGGTTGTCTGGGGCGCCTGGGGCCATCTGGTCCCACAGAGCCTCTGAGTGCTGTTCTGGGGAGTCCAGGAGCGGTGTATGGGGGGGGCCCTCGGGACCATCTTGGGGCGGTCTTGGGCCGTCTTTGGGTCATTCCAAGCAGTTGCCGGGCCAATGTTGGGCCACCTTAGGGGCATCCGGGAGTCTCCTGGGAGCCCTTTGTGGCCCTGAGGGGCTCTCTAGGAAATCTTTCGAGCCCTCGATGGAGCGACCTGTGGCCGCAGAATCGCGAGTCGTGAACATGCACGACAGACGTAAGGAACGTTACTGCTTTAGCCTGTCGCGGGCTCGCGGCGGGGCCGCCGTAGCGCGTCGAAGCCAAGCTGGCGTCGCTTCAGGGCGTCTCGGAGACTCACTGGGGCCGCCGGCTCGCTCACTGGACAGGCTGAACACTTTCGTTTCTCACTGTCTTCGGGAGCGGCCAAGAGGGGGGTGTCCAAGAGGGGGGGTGCAAATCATGACCGTCGGCATGTGCGCGGACCAGCGGGGGGGCCAGGGACGTAATGACATAAGAAGAGGCGCCATGAAATCTGGGGAAATATCATGGCCCACGCCATGATATCCACCCCCCCCTAGTCATCACCCCCCTCTTTTCCGCCCCCGATGTCTGGGGCCCCTCTCTCTTCGTGCCACCGCATTCACCAGAGGTTTGTCGAGCGTAGGCCTCGAAGGCCTGCACGCGGGGCGGCTGAGCCCCTGTGAGCCCGCCGCCCCGTGTTACCTCTCGCCAGCGTCGCCAGCCCCAAGGGGCCGAGCTGCCCCCGGGACGAAGCAAGGCCACTTCAAGCCCAAGGTCCCCAGGACTCCTCCGCGGACCCCCATGGGACGCACATGGACATACTAATACTATATGTCCTCCTTGGAGGCGCGCGTCCGACCCGAACATATAGTATACCCATCTTGTAGTACATCGTTTCCCGAGCGGTGTGGCCAGAAAGCGCCCGCCACGACGCATATACTATAAGATTTCTCGGTGCGCGCGTCGCCCCTGGGGGGGCGACGCACATATAGTATAAGTATGTTGGGGTGTTGCCGGCCCCAGGGCGCCTCAAAAACTGGCCGCCAGCGGCCCGAAGGAAACCCGGGCGCTGGGGAGAGGCAAGAGGAGGCCGAGAGACCCGAGAGCGCTCCTCCCCATTTTTATACGGAGGCACGCGGGTGGGAAGGCAAAACCTGCGGCGAGGCGGCAACGCGGCGGCGCTATCGAGAGGGACGGAACATGTTCGAAACAGTCCACATGTCCTATGATATTCTGTTCCGGAAAAACAGCCGCTGGTTGCTGTCCTAGCAGAACCGCCGACTGCGAAACCGTGGCCGTGCTATCGACATGCCGTAATTAGCAGGGCCTGAGGGCCCTGCGAGCGTAGCCAGAATTATTCTGGAGTCGCTTAAGCAGAAACCGGCCCGTCAAGAAAGAGAGCGGCTGAAGACGCCTCGGCGGCGTTCCGGGCGGGGCCCCCATGCCTGCTCCGGGAGACGCCCGGACCGATTTCTGGGCTCATGCGGATGTCCGGGGGCTCCGAGGGGTTCGTCGATGCAGAGACCCTTCTGGCACGCACGGGGACTTGCAGATTAGGAGCGATGACGTTGAGCTCCAGCTTCGCCTCCCGCATCTCGCCCAGCAGCGACAGAGCCCGCTGCCATCGCTCGCTTTTCTCGCAAGCGCTGATCCCGGCGCTGTAGCTGATTACGTTGGGCTCCAGCTTCGTCTCCCGCATCTCGCTCAACAGCGCCAAGGCCCGTTTCCATTGCACGCCCTTCCCGTACGCGCTGATCCCAGAGTTGAAGCTGATGGCATCGGGTTTCAGCTGCGCCTCCCACATCTCGCTCAGCACCGCCAGAGCCCGCTGCCACTGATCGCCCTGCTCGCACGCGCAGATCCCAGCGCTGTAGCTGACTAGTGCAAACCCGTGGAAGGGGCCGGAAGGGCGAAGCCAGCAGCCAGGGCGAAACTCGCTGCAGTTGGCCATGGTGGGATATGGTGGGCGCCATGAGGGGGAAGGATTGGTTGAAAATTGCTGCAGGAAGTTCTGGGAGGAGCTGGAGAAGGGGGAAGAGGGAGGGCTCAGAGTGGTTGGATGAGCAGGTTGGCGCCTGGAGGGGCCGAGGCTTGCTGGTGTGTGTAGGGAGGAGGGCAGGAGAGGGAGAGCGGCACCAGAGAGGGGCGTGAAGGGCACCCAAAGAAGGAGGAGGAGGAGGAGGAGGAGGAGGAGCAGGAGCAGGAGCAGGAGCAGGAGAAGGGGGAGGAGGACGAGGAGCAGGAGCAGGAGAAGGAGGAGGACCAGTGTAAACCCGAGACCCTTCAACGATGTAGCAGAAAACCTCCCTCCAAGCTCCCTCTTCATATGCACCATATAACGATTCATTTCCTCTAAGGGACGCGCACCGTTGGAAGACAACTGTGTGAAATTCCGGAACCGTTCCAGACAGAGCACCAGTCCCAGGACTTGAAGGCCACGAATAAACCTGATTGGTACGTCTCGACGATCCTGACTCGTGCCAGAACATCATTCCTGGGACCCTAACACCGCGAATCAACGAAACTGTTACGCCTTGGCAGCCCTGCACTTCTCCAAAACACCATGCCTGGGACGTTAACCATGAGACAAGTACTGAAACCCTGGAAATATCTTTCCACGAATGTGCGCGCCGCTAAGGCGAGACCCAACTTTTGGAAACACATCCGCCGTCCATCCGTGCGCGCGGTGCACGGGCGGCGGGCACACATTTTGAAAACGGCACGCTCTGAGGCCAGAGGCACATTTTGAAAACGGACCGCCCAAACAAAATTCATGAAACGATGGTCAATGTCTAAATTTCAGGGCCGCACGTGGCGAGGATGTCTCAAGCGAAACGCCCGCCCGCCCTCCCGACAGACCTCGTGGTGCGACGAGGAGGAGCGATTTGTAAGGGGACGGAATTGAGGAGAAGCACGAGGAGGACGAGGAGGAGGAGGAGGACGAGGAGGAGGAGGAGGAAGAAAAGACAGGAGAACAGGGAGAGGGGCTTTCTGGTGCCTTGCTTGGGTTCGGGGTTTAGTTTGGGGCTGCTGGGGATCCAGAAACGACGAAAGGTGCCTGGGCTGGAGGCTCTCTTGGGAGCCCCTTGGCAACTATCCGAATCTCTTCGGGGGCTCTGGGGTATCCCTTCTCGGGGGCATGGGGCTTTCCTTGGGGGTTCTAGGAATCCAGAAACGGCGAAAGGTGCTGGGGCTGGAGGCTCCCCTGGGAGCCCCTAAGCAATTGTCGGAATCTGTTTTGGGGGGCGTCTCGGAGTGGTCTTGGACAGCTCTTCGGGCCCTCTTGGGCCATTGTGGGGCCCTCTTTGGCAATCTCGGGGGCCTCTTGGGCCGTATTGGGGCCATGTTGCCATGTTGGGGGTCTCGGGACGTCTCGGTGCACGCCTTGGGCTCTTGGGCCATCTTGGGGCGATCTGGGAGAAACCTGGAGCCGTTCTGGGCCCGAAATGGCGATGACCTGAGAAGACTTCCAAAACCGAAGTGACTTGTTGATTTGGGACTCGTCGGGCTGTGGTCCGAGTCCTCGTGGGCCGTCTGTGGAGCCTCCTGGCTGTTCTTCGGGCCCTCTTGGGCCGCCACGGAGTTGCCTCTGGCTCCTCTTGGAACGTCCTGCCGCCCTGTTGAGCGCATCGGTGGAGCCCTGGGACCATCTGAGGCCGTCTTGGGGCCATCTGTGGAGCCGCTGGAGCCGCCGCGGAGCGCCCCGAGGCGCGCCGCGACCAAAACTGTAGAGCAGATGACGTCGGCCTCCAGCTTCGCCTCCCGCATCTCGCTCAGCAGCGCCACAGCCCGCTGCCACTGCTCGCCCTTCTCGCAAGCGCTGATCCCGGCGCTGTAGGTGATGACGTCGGCCTCCAGCTTCGCCTCCCGCATCTCGCTCAGCAGCGCCACAGCCCGCTGCCACTGCTCGCCCTTCTCGCAAGCGCAGATCCCGGCGTTGTAGCTGACAAGGGCTGACCCGTGGACTACCGTCCACGAATGCCAGAGGATTGAGCGTGCGCTCGTTAATGCTTATTGTTTCAGGGTGCGCTGTAGGCTTGATGATCCTGACGGCGTCTGGAGCAGCGCTAGCAGCAGCAGCAGCAGCAGCAGCAGCAGCAGCAGCAGCAGCAGCAGCAGCAGCAGCAGCAGCAGCAGCAGCAGGTCCAGCACCATCGGCAGTAGCAGCAGCAACAGCTGCAGCAGCAGCTCCAGCATCAACAGAAGCAACGCGGACCTCCGGGAGCTGTCCAGCCTGCTGCTTGTCGTGCCAGCAGTGCCGCGTGCTGTAGCAGGCTGTTCCCAGCGGAGGCATCGGAGAAGCGGCGGGGGGCCCTCCGATACCCGGGAGGGGGTCCTCGTGGGGCTCTGTGGGAGCCTCTGGAGAGCCTCTGGGAGCCTCTTGGAAGCTCTTGGGAGCGCCTCCTGGGGGCCTCTCGGGGGCGTCTTCGAGCCTTGCTGGCCATCGAGGGGCCCGGAGGGGGGGGGGGGAAGCGCTCCGAACTGGACCCTCTTGGGCGTCCCTTGGGACCGTCTGGGGGGGTTCTTGGGCCGTCTTGGGGGCCCTGGGAGCTCGATCGGGGGCCTCTGGGGCCGTCTTGGGGACTCTTGGAGGCCCCCCGGGCAGCATGGGCCCGATTTCGGGCGCCCGCGGTGTCGTGGTGGGCGTCTTGGGGCGGGCGGGAGGAGCACCACCGGAAACGTGGGATCTCCGTGGAAGCTCGTGGGGGCCCTCCGAACCCGTCTTGGGGCCCACTCGGGCTTACTGGGGACCTCCCGGGAGACTCTCGAGGCCTCCGTCGGGGCCCTCATGGGCCGTCCCGGGCCTATCCCGGGCCAGGACGGCGTCACCCCACGGGCGGGGCCCCCAGGGCGCCGCCGCGGGTGACCATCGCTCGTCCCTCTCGCAGGCGCGCACATGCCTGGTATTGTAATATAGACTAATTAAGGCTGACCTGTGGACTACCGTCCACGATTGCTAATGTATTGGGAGGGCGCATGCTGCTGCGTAGTGCTTCAGGGCGAGCTGGGTGCTCGATGATCCTGTCGGCGCCGAGAGCATCGTTTGCAGCAGCATCGGGAATGGCAGCATCGGCAGTAACCCGAGAGGTGGGTGGAGCGACGTGACTGGCAAACGACGGCAGCCACTGTGCAGAGGGAGCCGTGGGCGACGAGGAGAAGGAGGTCGAGGAGGAAGGGAGTGCAACGTGTATGGAAAAACCATACCCCGCGCCTCCTGGAACACGCGCCGTGCGGGAGTAGTCCCAGAAAAAAAAACGTTCCGGGGCGTTGGCGGCTCGGTCTGAAAGGTTTTTCGGCCATCTCCTTCCAGCCCAAGATGGTCCCAAGAGGGCCCCAAGAAAGCTCCGAAGGGGCCCCAAGACTGTTCCAGAGGGCCCCAAGAGGGCCCCAAGTGAGCCCCCCAGAGCTCCAGACGCGAGGGCAAGTCGGCTAGAGCTCTCAGGGGGCCTTCAGCCCCCATTGGACCCCCCCAGGAGGACTCAAGACTGCCCCAAGAGGGCCCCAATTTGAAAAAGGCCCAACAACTTGTCACGACAAGGGGCCGTCTTCGTGACATGTTGTGGGCCCTTCTTGGGGCCCCAAGATGGCCCCAGGAGGGCCCCAAGAAAGCTCCAAAGGAGCCCCAAGACGGTTCCGAGAGAGGTGGGAGTCCACCTGTGAGTAAAAAACAAACAAAAAATGTCAAGTCTGACCCGTCCTGCTGGCAGCCCGACATGATCGACCGCTTCCTGGACGAAATGGCACACACCCACCACGACGTCGGCACCTGGTCCCGGAACGCGGGCGTCTACATCGACTGGGACCGCGAAAACACCCTGCATCAGGAGTTCCAGAGGAAGCGGGAGGGGCGTGGTCTGGGAACGGTAAAAAGCCCTCTACCAGGAGTTACAGAAGAAAAGAGAGGTAACCAAAGGTGAAGGGCGCGGAGAGGGCCAGGCGCGCAGCTCCGGGTCCACCAGCAACTGGACCGAGAAACCCCCCAGACGTGACTAGCTCGGGACCCGCCCCCCCCTGCCGGTGCGCAGGGTGTCACGCCCAGCTCATTCCGCTCCCTGCAGACTGCGGCAGTACTCTGTGTGCAACCAACACACCGCTGGCCACGCATACCACCTGATCCCCTTTCCCCCTCCCCCTTCGCCCCTGGGCCTGGGACCGTGTGTCCTCCTGATCCCCCACCTGTTCCGAAAACGGCAGAGGCTGCAGCGCCGGCTGCAGGAGCCTGGCAGCCCATCGGCACTCCCGTCTTAGGTGGGCGCACGGGACGGGCATGCGCGACATGGGAGTCGCTGCCACGGGGGGCTGGGCTGAGCGCTGACGCCACTCAGTTTGCGGCCAAGTCAACCTGATCCACGACTTCGGCGACCTGTTCCCCTCCTCCCTCTTCGGTGACCTGCTCCCCACCTCCACCTGGTCCCCGTTTGCGTTACCTGCTCCCCACCCCCCTGCGACGCGACCGCCTTCCTACGCTCCCACAACTTGCGGCAAGGTCAAGGTCCTACCCACCCCTGGCCACACCCACCACCTGTGCCCCCTTCCCCCTCCGTCTTCACCTGACGTGGGACCGTGTGTCCTCCTTTTCACCCCTACCTGTTCCCCCACAGCACTTGAGACGAGCACGGCCCACGCGCAGCGACCGCTTGCTGGTCCACCTGGTCTCCGACTATACCTGCTCCCCCCTCCCCCCTCACCTGTCTTTAACATGTTCTGGGACCGTGTGTCCTCCCTGTACCCATCGGGGCCCAGTCCCCCGACGTGAGCACCTACGGTGCGGGCTGGCACGACGACGGCTGGCGTGGCGCGCCGGTCTTTCTCCTCCCTGTTCGCTTCTTCACCCCCCGCTCGCTTCCCCCCCTCCCATGGCGGCAGCGCCCGGCACTGCGCGGTTTCGGCCCGGTGCCGGGCGCTGCACCTTGCCGCCTCGGCGGCCCCGCTCGCCATGGCGCTGCGCGGCTCAGGCCCGGCCCTCGGCAATGCGGATGTCAGCGCATCGTGCGTGGCTGCTGCCCGTCTTCACGCGCTCACGGTGCAGGGCAGGTTTTCTCCCTGCACTCCACCGACATCCTGTCGGTCATGAACGGCCCCATCGTCTGTGGCCGCACCTGAAGCAGGCTGCTACCTGGTTGTGGATTGGACTACCACCCTGGGACTCATCCGCATCACCCGGTGGCACAACGTTGTACATCGCCTTCGTGGTGCTCCTCTTCTTCCTGGGCCTCCTCCGCGTCATCCGGTGGCACAACGTTGCTCATCGCCTTCGTGGTCTTCTCTCTCGTGGGCGTCGACCCGGTCAAGTGGCGCGTCCTCCTCTGCAGTGCTTGAGGCTGGTGTCCGCGGCGTGCCGTTGACGGCAACACCATCTCCCTCGCCTTCCGGGTCTTCGCCCCCGGTCCCTGTCCGCGGCGTACCTTTTCCTGTGCAAGCTCTTCGGCACCGCCTGCACCCCGGGCTCCGCCCGCTCCGGCCGCCTGAGGCCCCGCCTTCCTGTGCCCTGTCTCCCTAATTAAAGCTGTGCGTAGCCCGCCTAGCTTTTAGCGGAAGAGGTTCGCTCTCGCCCCGCAGACCCCAAAAAAGTGAGTAAAAAACAATACCCCGCACCTTATGGGACACCTCTTCCTCGGGAGGGCTTACCAAAAATTCGTCCAGGCCCCCCGCGGCACCCAGGGACGCTGTTTTCTGAGGCCTGTCTCGCACGCCGCGTGTCACAGGAGGCGTGAGTTACGATGCGAGAGGTGCCCCAAGAGGTGTGGTGTGTGTTTTTCCAATCCGCCGGGGCTTCAGTGAAATTGGACATTTCAGGGCTTCCTGGGAGTCCACCCGGGCCACGGTGGGCCGATTTTGGAAACCTTGGGTGCCGTGCTGGGCCCGATGGGGGGGGTGTTCCAGAGTTGGCCTTCTGGGGAGGCTTCTCGCGGGCCTCTCGGAGGCAGTTTCGAAGCCTTTGGGGGGCCGTTTAGGGGCATCTTGGGGTCTCTTTTGGGCCTCTCGGGAGCCTCTTGGGGCCTCTTGGGGGCCTCTTGGGAGCCTCTTGGGGGCGTCTTGGGGCGGAAGGCTGGGATCTTGGGTTCGAGGTCCCCGTCTTGGGGCCGTCTTGGGGCCCTCTTGGGCCGTCTTGGGCGCGTCGTGGGCCAGTCCCCACGAGCGGAGCCGCCGAGGTGACGCCCCCCGGGGCCCGCCGAGGGTGCCCCCAATGGCTCTTCTCGCACGCGCAATGACCGGTCTTGTAGGTTAGACTATAGGGCTGACCCGTGGACTACGCCCACTCGCGGGGGGAGGGGGAGGGCCGCCAGGCGCGTTAAATTACGTTAGGCGCCACGTTGGCTGCCCACTTCTCGCTGAAAATCTGGCCGGCGGTTCGGCCTGGCCAGCGGGAAGAGGGGGAGGGGCAGGAGGGGCACGTGAGGAAAAATGGCGTCGGCAGGAAGAAACTTGGATAGTTGCCTGGGGGGATATTTCCGGAAAGCGCATGTTCAGTCCTTCTGCGCCGAGACGCTCCTGGAGCCGTGGAGAGCCTGAGGACAACAATTAACGCCTGGGCAGTGTGTTAAACCTGTCCGCGGCAGGCCAGAGGCCTCAGCGATGGACCCCAGGAGCCGCGGACAAAATTTAACACGACACCCTCGCGTTAAATTTTGTCCTCAAGCTCGGGGGGCGCGGGACCCTGACGTTAAATCTCGGTCTCGGGCCCAGATCCCTCGTCAAATTTTCAAATTTCGCCCTCGAGTGGTCATGCCGCGCACTGTGGCGGCCTTGGTGGGCCTCCATGGGTT